TTATTTATGTAATATAAATCCGTTGGTATATTTCATTCTTATTATTGTCGACATTGAATTGACAATAATAAATAATATTTTCTTTCATCAACAATTTTCCTCACGATAGTGAGGTGAAAAGTTGTGTGTTTCGCTCGGCAGCAAAGTTATTTTGCGTCTCGCGCCTTGAAACCCTCGCTACGCTTAGGATTTTATTTTTTTAATCTTAGGATCCTTCGCTTGCTCAGGCAAAAACAATTTGCAGCCTTGCATAACAAATAACTATTAATGAAGAGAAAGTTACTTTAAAAAAAAACAGAGGGAGTGAGTTCACAAATGAAAAACAAACTTAGATATTGCTCAAACTTTCAATGAAATCCTGAAGAAAATATCTACTTTCATAATAAATACCTACTTGTACCAATAACGCACAATGCACCACTGTTTTGTTTAACTACTTACTTGAAATGATCCCTTAGCATAAAAACGCAAGCAGACCAGAATCTATATTTCAGGTGCTACAGGGTATCCACGATTGTCAGGTTTTCTAAGCTCATCCGCAATAATGGATAAAATAAATTAAATTTTTTATCAAATTCTGGTTGAACCTACAGCACTGCTTAAATCTATGTTTTTGTAGGTCTCTCAACATCCGAAGCAATTCAGTGCGGTTTTTAAATGGCACAGTATGGAGAGATCCGAAACCATAGGAGATACAAGTATACTGTCCTAGGAACCATTAAGTCTTTTTTTGTGAAAATGGTTCTTACATAAAACGTTTTATTCATAACTCATGCTTGACCAAAATATGACTATGCCAAAATTGTTTTCACAACAAAAGACTCAATGGTTTCTAAGACAGTTTCCTGGTATCTTCAGTGGTTTCGGATTTCCCCGTACTGTTCCATTAAAAAAAACACTCTGTATTTTGATAGTGATTACAGTACCGGCACGCTCTGGTGGCCGTTTTGACAGATTACAATAGTGAAGTCAAATCTCAATTCATTATCGAAAATATAAGCAAATGCGAGTCGCATATTGCAAATACAGTATTGCAAGGGGTAACCGATTAAAAAGTTTTAATAAAACGAAAATAAAACTTTTTAAGTTTTGCATTGAGCTTTGACGCGAGTTTGCCGAATGTAAAAGTTGTGCTGGCCAGCGACTCCAAAAGTGACGATCGTATTAGATTTCTTTTTTTTTAATTTTGAATTTCGAAAAACAAATGCTCGAAATTTTCGAAAATTTCGAAGAATAAACACAACTCGGGTTGTGTCATAAAATTATAAGTACATCCATAAATTTTACTGCACTATTGTCAACAATGTACAGCAATTAGCTCCTTCAACGTAGATATGAATTAATACGAAACTTGATGAGCGGACAAACGTCAAAACGACCGCCATAGTGTGCCGGTACTATAGTATTCTAAAATGGATCCATTGTAATATTGTATTCTTTTCGCTATCCAAAATAAATAATTAGTACTCAAGCACAAGCAAGCATTCAAGACAAGATTTTACATTTGAGTACGAGAGTGTAGGAATCAGCAAAGCTGAAACGAACCTCAAGCAGTGTTTAAAAATAAGCCACAAGCTGTCACCTTTCTTTGATATTACTCAGGTGAACCCTGTTTACCGAGGCAACACTTGAATAATGTTCTGGAATCCAAAATGTGCTTGAAGATACTCAAGTTCTGATTTGAGTATTGCTTACAGTACAAGTACCTCCACAGTCCTTTTAGTAGCCAATAATGCGTTAACCATATGCGCGGGCGCCGCGGCACGCCAGCCAATCCCAGCACACGGCATTCACTGCGATTGCGTGTGTCTGATCTTCGCCGGACGTCTTTTGTTTATTGCACTCGAATCATGTCATCGCCATCATTTTATAAGTAAGCGATTTCTCGAGAACGAATGTAGATCAAAACGTACCTATACAAAATCTGTATTGTATACATATTGTATACGTTATTTACAGCACTATTTACGGTAAGTAAAAGAGGTACAATTATACAAAAAAATGTGATATGCAACAAACCAGCGTTTCCCATTTGATGGGTCGCGACCTGGTACCGGCCCATCAAAATAAAATACCGGGTCGCAACATTCCCGCCTTGTTGAAGTGCACACAGACCTCAGGTTTTAAAACTTTCGTCATTTTCCGCGAACCTGGATCCCTAGTAAAAAATAAGCGCAGCTCCATACTTCGCACTAATTAGGCGATACCGAAATAATATTAGTAAAACATTTTTACTAACAATATATGTGTATTATTTTACTTATTGTAACCAGCTTGGGTTTAAAAGTATTGAGTGGGTCACGAAGAAGCGGTATGAAAATTAATGGGCCATAGCCATTGACTTACAAATAAATGGACGACGGGTCTAATACAAAAACCACGAAAAAAAATGTCCCAAGTCAACCTATTCGAAATTTAAATTGTAATGTCATCGCAGTATCGCGCTGTCAGTAGAACAAATGAAGACTAAAGCGGAGTTTGGCGCTCTGTATACGATTTTAGCGCCTTACAAGTGCGGACACTTTTTAGCGCGGACCCGACGTCCATATAATTGTAAGTCAATGGCCATAGCAGAACAATGTTTGAGAAATACTACATCAAACAAAAGAAATATTATTTTAAGGGTCTTTCTTACGATTAAAAAATATTCAACTAATTTTTATAGTATAAGTGTTTTTATTTTTATAAAAGAAACTGGCCTCAAAAGTTACAGGAATAACATCTATCTATTTTTATAGAAATCGGTTAACGGGAGTGGTGAAATCCAATACTTTTTTATACCCTAATTTGTCACTCGTAGAGGTGGATTATTTTCCTCAAATTAAAATGGAACCATCACTGGGTTTTACCTTTCCAACAAAAAAAAAAATCATCGAAATCGGTTCTCAAATGTAGTAAGTAACAGCGTAACATACATAACAAAATACAGTCCAATTAAGAACCTCCTACTTTTTTAAATCGGTTAAAAATTACCATCGCTATCAACATGTCACACACCCGATTCAAAATTGACACATCTCAAAAGTGGCAAATGTGGCAAAGAAAGCTTGCGATATCAAGTGATGGGGCAAACAAGCCATACGCCTCGTATTAAGCGACACGCCTGCCAATAATAGTTGCAGCCACTTGGTGCTTTAAACCGCAAGGATCTGAGGGGCACTGCCATTGCGCCTGTCACCCTGTAACTGTAATTTGCCTGTAACTGTTTCCTTGGAGACAAATTTGACGAACATTTAAAGTGGAAACATCACATTGATCATATTATGTGCAATAAGGCTGAATAAATTTGTCTTTGGCCTACGTAGGCTAAGACAAACTGTATCTCACGAAGCCGCCGCAATGATGGCTTATCACGGGTACGTCTCCTCTGTATTAAGTTATGTATTAATGCTGTGGGGAAACTCCGTAGATGTGGATAGGGCGTTTGTAGTACAAAAGAAATGCATTCGCGCAATTTGCGGTGCTAAATATGATAATGCAAACCCTTGTTCAAAAAACTCAATAGCTATACTTCCTCTCGCCAGCATGTATGTTGGAGACATCTGTGTGTTTGTCAAGACTCACTCTCAACATTTCAAATTACGTGGCGAAATAATTCAACTACAAACTAGAGCTAAAATGTGAATCAATTGTACCAACCTCGCTGCCATAAGATAATTTATACGAATAACTGATTTTAATAATTTACCAAATGACATTAAATTACTACAAGGACGTACTTTTAAACTACAGTTGACAAGGTGGCTTTTGACGCATTGCTTCTATAGTAATAAGGAATATTTCGAATTTATAAATACTAATTAACATTATATTAAAAAACAATTAACTGTACACAAGACACAATAAATTCCATTACATTTGAACACCTGCTTGTAGGTTAAACACAATGTACTTAAATTAATTTAAGAGCTGTATATTTACTGTATTCTGGCAAATAAACGTATTTATTCTATTCTATTCTACCCTACCAAATAATCGTCAAAAGCAATAATTTTACAAATTTCGCACAAAGTTATACTATTATACCATGACGCAGGTGAAAGGGTGTCAGTTTTCACCGCTGCGCCGTGGTGATATAAGGTAGAAATAACTGAGTCGTTGGCTGGTAGATGACTGGTTATATTTTGGTAAAGAAACTTATTTATACCTATTCAGTACGTGCGTCTTTACGCTGATCCACAGTGTATGGTCGTTACTTTTGCTTGCCTGAATGTAGGAAGAGGGTTAGACATTCTGGCACGTCTGGTGCTGCTACAGTATCATCATGTATTCGAATTCTTTACCGAAAGGCATGGAAGTTTTTTCGTGCGCCCATAACAAAACCCAAACAAAATTAAACTTATGCCTGTGTTAAAACGGTTTGCAATGTGTAACAAACAGGTGTAACACTTTTCCTTCGCATATTAACTATTAGTAATGTAAAAAGTTATTAGACGTGAAGTAAAACAATGTAAACTTGCATGAAACCTAAACAATGTAAATTTAAAAAATGTTGGAAGATTCATTTTAATATTCTCACAATTTATTTTTAAATAGTTATTTTATTTCAGAACTTTATATATAAAGTTTTGTAAGACTATGTTTAAGCTAAGAAAATTGCATTCCTTTTCAAATTAAAAAATAGTTATCGTATAATAATTGTCCAATAATTCATAGAAAAGAACGAGAAACCGGTAACTCTTCGAAATAACGATAAGGGAAGGAAGGATACCATAGGGCCAGTTATGCTGTTTCTTCCACAAATCTGGCAAAGTTACCAAATAATTTGTCTTGTAAAGTCATTAGCGATTAACGATTTCGTTAGGGTTACGTATAGTGTTTATTTGTATTCTACACGACCTATCCTCTTCTGGTCGAGGGTTGTAGATGATTTCTGCTATATTGTTGACTATTCGTAGTTTTATCTCGATCATTCCAAAAATACTCGTCTCCTGAATGTAAGTCCAGCGAAAACGTCAATTTACCTAAAATGCTATTTATCATTTTTTTCCAAATTTCAGTTAGTACCGAGCTCGGTATGGGGTTCATTTCCCACCGCAGCGCCATGCTCGGCCCTGCCAACTGCCGACGATGCGAGCTCGCTCGGCGAGCAGTTCGCCGCGCTGTCACTACGCAGGCCACATCGCCCTCCGCCGCCCACGTACATGTGCCATCTCTGCTTTAAGACCGGACACCATTACATAAGAGACTGTGATCAGGTAAGCTTATTTAAGTATTGATGACTTACGAGGTCGAGTGGCTTGCACATCGATTTTCGTGTTGTCGCCACCTCTGAGGTCCCGGATTCGATCCCCAGCAGGGTCAATGTAGAAAATAAGTTTTTAATATTTACTCGTGTTTGGGTGTTTGTGATACCATTGTTGTTTCCAATTTCCACAACACACGTGCTTTAGTTACTTATTTTGGGATCAGAGCAACGTATGTCATGTTGTCTAATGTTATCTGATTTAATACAATAGCAATCAAATCTGATACTTTTTTCTTTTTTTTTTTTTAATAACGCACACACTCAACATAGCCCCGAACTAGGGAAACCCTGTGTCGCGGGTGCCATGGACACACACATAGACAACCACAAATTACACCCAAACTCACGAGAGAAATAAATGTAGGCCATACAAATACTTCTCCCGGCCCGGGAATCGAACCTGGGGCCTCCGCGTGGCAGTCCGGCATGGTAACCGTTCGGCCACGGAGGCAGTATGATCGGCACGGAGGGCACTTGATCGGTCTTCAGTCCAATGACATCTTAGAGTTCCCTGATAATGGCACTGAATCTTACACGTAACGCGGGGTGAGAACTTCCCACGTTTTCCAAGGGTTGTGAATCTTTTCATCATGATTTTCCTTCACCGAAAAGCTCATGGTAAACTTGACATTAAATTTCATGTATAAATACCGAGAAACTCAGAAGTGCGAGTCCGGATTCACGAGTCAAACTCACGGCTTCTGTTTGAGGGGCGGTATGTCAAACCTTTAGACTACCACAGCTTATTATATCGCACTGCTATTACAATAGTGTTGCAACTCCAAATATGTGAAATTCGACATTATACTAATGCTGAACGTAAAATTTTCTTATTATTCTCTACACGTCAATAACAGCGTCATATACGATACGACATATAGAATATTGTAAGAAACAATGAAAATATATCTACTTAACTCAAAATAAGCTAAAACTTTTTGTAAGTCTTTACGCAAATATCAGTATATTTGGCGAGTAGAAAATTCTTTAGATGTCTGTAATAAACTTTAACTGTGTATGTTTAAATATAAATTATGTAAATTTATAATATTATTATATAAATTTAAATATAAATTTTAATAATCTTTCACGGAAAGTGACTAATTAGTTTTTCATCGATATTCTGAAAAAATACACATTTTGAGTTAGTACACTATTGTATTTACAGTGCAATATATAGGTTAATGACGTTGACCAATTTAGCCTAACACAATCCATTCAATATCAGCTTCCCCGTAAACGGAGGACACTACACAATCGCCATTTTTGTCTCGAAGAGGCGATTGTTCTCCTGCAACTTTTGGTTTAATTAAATCTACAACAGCTGGATATACACACGGGAAGATATGAGTCATGAGCCCTTTCTCCCTGTCCAAAGTGGCCACGTGGTGAGAAATTGAAGTAACTGTAAATCAAACGCTTTTCCATCCTTTTGCTCATTCTGAACCAAAACCTGGCTGCACCTGGAACCACGCAGTAAAACACACTACACCAAAATAACAATCCCGAATTCAAAATCAGTAAAACAAAAGGACCTCTATGAGAAACACTATCGTCTTGAGTAATAATAAAGCTGTGGACACAAAGACGCCTTTATTCAAGTTCCGTGGATCTTTGACCCTTGAGCTCACATGATTTGTAGGTACTCTGAACTGGAAATGCTATTAATTTCTGAGAAATATTATTTGTTTACATTAACCGTTTGTTAATTTTTGTGCGTAACAGTCTTTGCAAATACAATAAGTAGGTACACTTTGTAAAGTTTAGATACTCTTACTTACTTAACGAGTTGAATAGATTGAGAAGAAATTATTCTGCTGTAACAAAGTACTCGTAATTGAATTTCGATTGAAAAATGACTGTTCTGAGTAGTCATTATTTAAAGTACAATTAAGAAGTATTAATTAACATTTATACATAAAAATATTGTAAGGACTTCATAGTAACTGCCTCTGTGGCCGAACCACGCAGGTTACCATGCCGACTGCCACGCAGAAGCCCCAGGTTCGATTGCCGGGTCGGGAGAATATTTGTGTAGCCTACATACCGTGCCAGACGCTATACCAACTAAGCCACGGAACGTACCAACGGACCTCACGAATTTTTCTAAGTGCTTGCGTCGTGTCTTTGTACTTGGTCTTTCAACTTTATTGTATATTATTCATTATTATCCTTTATTAGAAACTGACTTTCATTAATTGTTATTAATTTTCAATAATAATTATTATTATTTTTAGTTATATTACATTGTGTGATTGATTATGTTATAAAATGCTTCACCTTTGTATTGGAATGGTCCTGAAAAAATAGTTGTACGTATGAAATAAATAAAAAATTTCGTTTCTCAAATTGGTCCTACCAGGAATCGAACTCGGGATCTCCGCATCCAGCGCCTATAGTGCAAACCGTTAGACCACTGAGATCGTCATTCTGGATTGAACAACGTAATTAACGTAAATGCCTCCGTGGCCGAACAGTTACCATAGTACCAGATCAGTTTGGCCATTAATCTGGCCAACGGGAAAAACTGAAATATTTGTACGACCTACATTTATTTCTCTCATGAGTTCGGGTGTAATTTGTAGTTGTCTAGGTGTATGTCCATGGTACCCGCGACACAGGTTTCCCTAGCTTTCCTACTTTCCCGGGCTGTTAAAAACAAATAAATAAAAATCTTTTATCCGCCAAAATTGTAATTCCAATCGTGATACAGGGTACGATAGATGAAATAAGAATGTAGGTTAACAATTTTGAACGTCTCAGATGGTGGATATAGTCCAAGTCCAAATAAATTTGATTTATATTACCACTGTATCTCGCAAAGTTTTAAATAATGTCAATGTCAGTTCTCCCAATAGAAGTAAACGTAAAAATAAAGAGTACAATTTGGCAGACAGCCCGTTTTGGGTCAGCCGAGCCGGCGGAAATTCTCGTGCAATATCCCAATCTGGAGATTATTAATATCCTATTAGATTTTGATAAATAAAAAAAGCCCAGTAGCTATCCGTGGCGTGTTATAGTCTTTAAATGTCGAAATAAACAATAGCCACTATGTTTCGTTATGGAAAAAATCAATCAATATATAAAATAATCATTATAAATGATCGTAACTACGTTTAAGTTATAATTATTAATACTAAGATCGAACGCTTAGAAAAAATTCCTTCGATCAGGCCGGATTTGTGCCAGGCTCCATGCCAACTAAGCCACGGAACGAACCAGCGGACCTCACGAATCTTTTTCATAGATGGCGCAACGCTTAAAAGTCGTTAAAAACCAAATACAAAAATCCGACAACAAGCACATAGAAAGATTCGTGAAGTCCGCTGGTTCGTTCCGTGGCTTAGTTGGCATAGCGTCTGGCACCGTTTGCCAGAAGACATCAGTTCGAATCCGGCCGGATCGGAGGAATTTTTTCTGAGTGTTCGATCTTTGTATTAATAATTATAACAAAACTAGTGGAGTAATTTAATTTAAAAAAAAAAGTAATTTAAATTGGAATGTTTTCATTGTAAAATTAAAAATAAGGTATTTAATTAATAACTATTGTAACTATAGTGAAAAAATAGGGTGGTTTGCATTAATATTAGACATAACTGGTTGAAGACTGTACCACCTCAGTCAACCGTGACCATGGGACCTGTAAAGGGCCCGAAACGTCGGTTTGTTTGAAAAAACAAACACACGCGATTTAAATCCGGAAAAATAGTTTCATTTCCTAGTGGAATAATTTCACAAAAAATAATTGAATACCATGATAGTGAAACATCCTGACATTCAATAAACAAATAAATTACTTTTAAGTTTTTTTTCCAGTGACGACACGAACAAGTCGAGCGGCATGATGATAACGTAACACGTCTGTCCATTGCAGTGCCACTCAGAGCTTTAAATCGCAAATATCTGAGGGGAAACTACGCCCCGGTGACTCCTAAGACATAAATTGACTAGTTCCAGGTGCCTGTAATTTCGCCAGCACCCTTAGGAATCCACTAATGCTCACATTACTGCTTGGCGGCAGAAATAGGGCAGGTGACATTTCACTTACAATTACACTTATATTCATATATCTGGACATATACTTACATATTGCACAAATTATTTCAATGAACAATTTCCCACTAATCGTTTATTATATATATATATATCAAACTGCCTCCGTGGCCTAACGGTTACCATGCCGGACTGCCACACAGAGGTCCCAGGTTCGATTCCCGGGCCGGGAGAAATAGTTGTATGGCCTACAATTATTTCTCTCGTGAGTTTGGATGTAATTTGTGGTTGTCTATGTGTGTCCATGGCACCCACGACACAGGGTTTCCCTAATGCGGGGCTATGTTGAGTGTGTGCGTTATTTATTTATTTATTTATTTATATCTTTCATTACAAATAACGTCTGAAATCAGTCCCTCAAGAAGAAGATCTCCTGGATTGAACAATCGCTTAAATCCATTATATTACCCAAGCGGTTCACGTCTACCCACTTGAGTTTGCATTATCCGCTCATTTTCAGGATCCGGATAATTTGATATCCGGATTGCAAATCCTTATTCCACGAGAAGATATGTAAGCGGGGTCACCGACTTCCTCCTAGGCTAATGATTATATGAAAAATAAATGAAAATTACTGTAGAATAAGAGCGTTAGGCCTATTGTAACACAAATATAAATAATGATGACCATATCGACAAAGCGAACGCGCTTAATTTCAGAAGCGTACGTTTTCCGCTTGATGTGTTCATATCTCAAAAATATTTTTTTTTTTAATTATTATAATAGTATGGATTTGCCTTCTACTCACCTGATGGAAAGTAACTATAAGATCGACGATGGAGCAATGCACACCTAAATAATGACTATTTACTCTCACCTTGAAAAGTCCCAAGATATAGCGTTCAGGGAATAAGTCTGCAGTCTGCAATCCTTGGAATATCTACCAAATAAGGGTGGAACCCCAGCCTAAGTCTACTCCCTAGATGGAACGGGGAAGTTGGTGTGAAATCGTGCAATTCCAACTCCAACAGACAAAACTTATATCAATTAAATGTTACATAAACAGTGCATTCTTATCAATGTACATGTCTACCTTATTTTTACAATGTCTAATAAATTATAGAACACAGGTAGGTAGGTATTCATTTCCTGTAAGCGTTACTTATTAAAAGTACAAACCTGCTATGTCAGCGCATACCAGATGCAGATTTACCTATGAGCACTTTGTGTTATGACTCAGACGACTCTGGAGTTAGATTCTCAGTAATGGCGGTGAAAAGAATGTAAATAGGTACTTTTAAAATGTAATTCAATGATTTTGAATGAATAAGTTGCAATACGCTCCGTTTTGTTTCATCATCATCCACTTATTATACGTCACAAAGCTGGAAACGTGTTTCTTCTCAGAATAAGATTTATGTAGGCATCAAAAAAACTTCACAGGTTTTGCAGAGCATATTTAATTCATTCATTCACAATTTCACTAATCGTCATGCGATATTGTGAACCAATTCGCATCAAAACACACCAATTCAGACAAGAAAATAATGGCATCGTTATTACTATTTAATTTCCACTACACCACACTCCACCTTTAAGTCATTGATATATTACGTATGTAATGAGTTATGCTCCGAGTTACTCTGGAGGATAAGATTTGAAATGAGGTTATCCGACAGAGAACCAAAGTCGACATAGCTGGTAGAATAAGCAAGCTGAAGTGGCAGTGGGGTGTATGTATCTGTCCAAGAACCGATAACCGATGGGGGAAACGAGTTCTTGAATGGAAATCACGGTTCGGCAAACATGGTGTAGGATGATCTCTGCGAAACGCTGCTTGGACGAAATGGCGCACATTGGGAGAGACCTATGTCCAGCAGTGAACTGCGATAGACTGATGACGATGACATTGGCATGAAGCCATTTCTTTCTCCCGGAGTAGAGGAATGTACTGATTTTTCCGATCACATAAATTTGAGGTCACTCAATGTGAGAGTGAAGACCGAGTCACATTGCCGTTAACGTCCAGGTATCTATTTTAAATATACAGGTTGTAAATAAATTCGGTGCGAAAGTTTTAGAACTGATTATTTACCTCATTATAATCATTAATATTTAAAATAGTCACTACTAGATCGAGAGATAATGTTATCGACGAATTAATTACTACTAATCACAATGACAATACTATTAAGTGATTAAAATCTTTCAACTATCATTAGCTACTTCAGTATTAAAATGGAAAATAATGTCAATGTCACGGTATTTCTCGTGTTGATTTATTTATGTTATGATTTTATGACACAACTAAGCGATGTTGTCAGGCGACAATGTTAAATTTCTCACCAGTTAAAAAGAAAATGATTATACACGGATAGAATCGTGAAATGGTTTCTTTTTGTACGAGTATGTAGAATTTTAAAATCAAGATTAAAGTAAAAACCTCGGCTGGTCCCAAAGAGACTTTTGATTCTTACAAGAAACAGGATAGAAAGAGGTTTTGCATAAATTGCCTTTTATCTTGCCGACTGTAGGTACCATTTTTTCAAAATCTGTTAATGTCAATGGAAATATCTGCAAAATTCTGTCTCGAATCAAATTTTCACCCTCTATGGATTAATCATAGAACATTAGTAAATGAAAACCGATTTCCATTTCCAGGCTCGTCCGAAAGGCGAAGGGCTGACCCCTTACCAGGGCAAGAAACGATGCTTCGGAGAGTACAAGTGTCCGAAGTGCAAGCGCAAGTGGATGAGCGGCAATTCGTGGGCCAACAACGGGCAGGAATGCATCAAATGTCGCATCAACGTCTTCCCCCATAAACAGGTGAACTCACTAATATATATATGTTTTATGTAACTAGAAATAGCTCTCATTTTCCCATAGCAAATGCTGCAAAAAACACAACCGCCTCCTGGAGCAGGGTGGTGGCTTCAACAAAGCGGTAATATGTTCATAAAACGATAACGCCTTTGTTTTTTTTTTACAAAAATATAAGCGCGCATTTGACCTCCATCTCACCTGAAGAAAAGTGACGATGAAATCAACGATTCAGCATGCACAACCAAATAATACCTATTCACTCTCATCTTAATCCAAGTTATAACGTTCAGGGAACAAGTCTGCAGACACTCTAAAGCCGTTCGCCATATAAATGTGGAAGCGTAACGCTACGAAACACAACATAGGGGTGGAACCCTAGCCTACGTCTAGTCCCCCAGTGATAGAAAGGGGAAGGCGGAATTAAATCGTGTAATTCCATCGCACGCCCTCCGTGATATATCCTGTAGAATACCGATAAGCAAGCAACTTTCACTGCATTGATTTTTACTTTACAACATCTATCATCATCATTCACAAGCCCGACGTCTGTGCTAGGTAATAAGGCCATGCTAAATTTAAGCTATCTACCATGATCCTGAACTAGTCTCACCTTGGGATAAGCGATAAGCCTATCCAAGACGGTTACAGTGCCACTCAAACCTTCAAATCTCAAAGGACTGAAAAGTGCTGTCACTGCTCCCATCTTAGAATAAGAACATAGTTTTATATCAAACGAACTGCCAGAAGTGAGGCAAAAATCAAATTTATGTAGGCTTAGGAACTTGTATTTACCTCGTCGGCATGCACACAAATATAGAAATAATGATGCCATAGAATAAACATTTCCATCAAAAGTGGGGAAATTTTCTCTTGCTTAACTCATAATTAAGTTAATGAATTCTACCCAAGTTTTTGTTTAATTCATATATGAACAAAAACCTAAAAGCGAGTTTAAGTGCGACTATCCAATTTGACTTTAGTTCATGAAAATTTAGATATATAAATAGCCTGGTATTATCTGTGGATAAACACATGAAAATTACATGCTAACAATAAAGAACCTGAACCTGAAAGTTTATTTATACACGACTTTGGAGAACTGACGACGACTTTCTTAGTCAGTGTTAGTTCCCTGAAATAAGTTTAGTTAAGAGCTTTTGAGCCTGGGCAAGACAATTTTTTAAAATGAGTCCTGTATGATGAACAAGAATAATGATTTTCACATGAAACTAATGAAGGCATATACTAAATATATTCCGTATATAGCTAACGTAAATGCCCTACAATGTTGTCACGGCGGTGTACATTTGTAGAAATTCGGCAAACCGTAGCGATATTGCCTATTCGCAAAAAATTACGTAATGGAATTATTTTGAAATAGAATAGCAAAATTGGGAGAAAAAAAATCCGTACTTTGCAATATTTTCGTGTCTTGTTGCAACGAAATTAATTTTCTGTTTTAGTGAACATAAATATACAAGCTTAGAATAATAATGCGTAGAAACCTAGTCCGCACACGCTAAGTGAGGCAAATTGAAGCGCGCCAAAAGGGCCTACACGAGCGGGCGGGCCTTCAGTGCTCAAGGTCAACTTGCACCGCGAACAGATCAAGAATTTTAGCTAAGAATGACGAATTGTGCGGTAAATGAATGTAAAAATACGTCAGACAAACATAAAATAGATACTAACATCATTTTCCACAAGGAAGTAACGCGTTTCAACTTGTATTTTATATAAATATTCACTAAAACCGAAAATTAACCTACTACTAAAACTAGCCTACATGAATTTGATTTTTGCCTCACTCGTGACAGTTCGTTTGATATGAAACTATCATTCTATGCGTTATTATTCTAAGTATACAAGTTGTAACGCGTTATTCCCTCGTGGAATGTGTTATGTGATGTTAGTATCTGTTTTATGTTTGTCTGACGTATTTTTGCACTCATTTACCGCATACTTCGTCATTTTTAGCTAAAATTCTTGAGCTGTTCGCGGTGCAAGTTGACCTTGAGCACTGACGGTCCGCCCGTTCGTGTAAGCCTATTTGGGTCCCTACAATTATTCTAAGTCTACAGCGATATCTATGTAATGTACTAACGTTATGTGTGAAATAAAAGACGACCATGGTTACATCTTATTTTTCGATATGAAATTACATAGGAAAAGCACTTATTATATTTGTTAGAAAGGGAATTAAAAGTTGGAAAGAGTTTTTTAAATTTTTATTGAATTGATATTCAATAATTTTTTGTGAAATTACTCCACTAGTTTGTTATAATTATTAATATAAAGATCGAACACTCAGAAAAAAAATCCTTCGATCAGACCGGATTCGAACCGACGTCTTCTAGCATACCGTGGCACACGCTATACCAACTGAGCCACAGAACGAACCCGCTGGTTCTCGTCGTACAAAGCGAAAGTAATAAACAAAAGAGTGTCACTAATTGGAAAAAAGAATAAACAAGCAATGCGTAACGATAGTGGCCAGTATTATTTTTCAAAATATACCTAAGAGATTACTTTTCAATATGTGAAAGAGATATGTCAAAGAGATAGTTCATAGATATTCATTAGATATTTCAGTATGTCAAAGAAACCATCCTAATACAAATAACTTTAATAATTTCAGAGACCTCTGGAGAAACCTGACGGCCTGGACGTCAGCGACCAATCGAAGATCCACCCCCAACATCTATGCCAAAAATGTCGCTCTCTCGGCTACTATTGCCGTCGCGAATATTAGCTTCTTTCCGGAGACGTGGCATGGACGAGACAGGTCATGGTGAAACTTTTTGAGTCAGCAATCATCCGACACGATCACGACACGATTCTGAAAAAATCTTAATTAAAAATGAAACTAGAAAATAAATTCTGTATGAGTAAATATCGATATAACATAAGCACCGTAGGAGTTGATTTGGAATTTTCCGTGCAAAAGGTTTTTAGCTTTCCTAAAAATTTTAAACTCAAAAAATATTTTCATATATAAGTATATTAGGCGTTTTTTCTCACTAGATGTAAAGGTACCTATAGATTTACTCGATTACTTCGTCATTTTAGATTTAGATTTTAGATTCGATAGACACCCACGCCAAATTTAAATTTCATAGTGTCGATCGCCAAAAACTGGCTGTCGATCATCTGTTTTTTTACACATTTACTCGATTTTGTTGATATAATCATATGTGTCGATCGTAAAAAATGCGATATCATTATGTTTTCCTTACACATTTACTCGATTTTGTCGATCACACTTATTGATCGACAAGAAATATGATGGCGATCATCGGTTGTTTACACATTTACTCGTTTTGTTTGATCACATATGTCGAAAGACAAAAAATCGAGCAAATCTGCTCGATTTATTGTAGTTTATTAACTAAGTGCCTTATCGTATTAAGAACACAAGAAAGTAGTTAAAGATTATCGATTTAAATTCGGCAGTATAATAAACCTATTCACGTGAGTTTACTAAGCTCGGAACTTCTCTATGAAGAGTTATATTATAACATGACATAAATTGTCAACAGTTGCCCATTTTACTTTAGACTGCGAAAAAATCCAAAGATAAAATCAAAGTGTTTGTCACAAAATTAAAAAAGTTGATAACAAAATTTTATATTATATACTTGTCAATTTGCGAATAGATGTTAAAAGAGTTTTATATAGTCTACGTAACTACTACGTAGCTATATGAAGATATATGACAAAATACGCACAGTCGAACACTATAGTACAAATTCTATAGTTCAAACTCTGTGTTTTTCCCATCAAATAACGTAAGAGCCTCAGCGAATAAAATAAAAAAATAATATTACTGACAATGCAAGTGAATAAAAAGCTACATATCGAACGGATCTATAAGCGAGCTAAAGAACTCGCTTTACTCTGTCATTGTCCGTAATGTTAAAAAAATAATACGCAAAATTGAATACCTGAACAAAAACGACACAATCAGATTTAAAAGAACTTTACCTATTAACTTAACAGGAACAAAGCCTTTTTATTTTTTCGCTTGGGTTATTAGTTGAATCCCATTTTTATCTAGAATAAGAAATATATGTCTAACAATATTTGAATTACATGAATACTGTATATTTCGAACAAAATATTGCCTTTGAAAAGATTTTATCCATGTTTTTAGATGTTTTTTTTCTTAGTTTTAAGTTCATATGTAAGTCTTAAAAATCTTTTAAGTATACTCCGCAAGGCAGTACAGTTACTTACGAATTTTTTTATGTATATTTAGGTAATCCAGTTAGTTACCTTACAATGAGTTCAAATCAATCAGTTAAATTTAAAGTAAAAAACATTGCACGTTAGACGTTTAATCTTTCCAGCGTTAGACGTTACCTTCATGTTAGTTGAGGATTGTGTCATTCTGAAAGCCACGCGGTTTATTATTACATTAATCGCTATTATTTTAACACGAACTCAACGTTGTACAACAAATGAGAAAAGACGTTTTTTAACAATTTATTTAACTTATTGATTTGGAGTATTATAGGGCACCCTAACTAGTACGGCTTGCTGTCGCGATCTCAGTCATTTTTGAGCAAGTAATGTAAATATTTCTCAATTTTTTTAAGCGCTTTATTAACGTGTCCCAACTGCTAAATACCTGTACAATTATATTAAATTACACTACCAATGTAATAGAAGAAACAACTACCTATACGAAAGCAATCACGTGCAATTACATTTGCTAGTGACAAATTAACACTGGTAGTCATGTTATTGCAGTAAATTTGGACTATGAAACGATAGAAACCATCCACATCTGTCTATGAATATGTGATACCTCGTTTTCCAGTCACACAAACGCAAACCGCGATGTGCCAAAATAAAAAATACACTATTGTGGTTTAATTTTGGAAAGTAACTAAGGGCGCCTTCAAATTACACGCTTATAGAAGCCTTGGCGCCACTGCGGCACTACAGCGGCAAAGTTTTTTTCCGCAAATACTCTAATACAAAGCGAAACGTTGTTGTTCGTATTCTACATTTATCTTTTTATCACCCACCAACAAGGCATGAAAATTTACAAACACCGCAATCAGAATCTCAAGGTTTATTGTGCAAAATGACTCGGTAATTAAATGGTTAGAGTTCACTGTTATTAAGTATTATTAAGTCATTGAGCATATTATTGTGAAATATCGGAGTATAATATATTAGAATACTTTAGTAACCAAAATTGCCACTGAAATTAATCAGAGAACACTAAGGGCGCCTTTAAATTAGAGTATGTAAAGCGCAGCTGCACCACAGTCGCCGCGCGCGCGCGCCACTTTTGCAGACTAGATATTGTATGAAAATTAGTAGTGACGCAGGTACTTTGCCACGGAAGCTTCTACAATCGTTTAATTTGAAGGCACCCTAAGAATTAATTTCAGTACTGTTTTTTATACCCATTAGAGAGCGCACACAGTAATCTATTCTAATTTAAAGCGGTGTTAAGTAAAATAATTACCTCACAACACAAATTTTAGTAAATAAATGGGCTTCGCATTTATCACCGATAATCGTTGTTTGTCTAATTATATTTGTAGTGATAATTGTACCTTGACCAAATGCAATAGCTGATATATTACTACAGAGCGTTTAAAAAACCTTTCAAATCAAATGAGTGACTGGTAAAACATTACATACTATTAGAAAAAATTGTGACAGCAAACCCGTTAAGTTCCATAATTTTTCACATAGATCTTAATAAGTTTCCACAAAACATTGGACAGATAATAATATTACTAAGATTGAGGACAACCCCATCAAAAAATTTAAAACCTAACATTATACTGAGTTATGTGTAAAATACTAACAACCTCGCAAAATTATATTACTGCCATCATAAACGACAATGTTTGTTCTATGATTTTTAATAAGTCATCGGAACTTACTTTCGTACAAAAATAAGAATATTTAATTATTTATTGTACAGAAAAAACAAAAACACATTTAGTAACAATGAAAACCACAAACAAAAGGTACTGCTTATTTCTAACAGAAATTTCTTCCTGCAGATCTAAATACAGGAGACAATAATTACAATAACGGGTTTACGTGCACAACAAAGTAAAAATTATGAATAAAAAAAACAATATCAAAAACATAAAATTATTAAATGTATATAAATACATATTTCGTACTATAAAATGGACGGAACAGTCGACAAATAGTGCTCCGTAACTCTCATTTTGAAAATTGCTACGGATTTGCTATCATGAACAGTAATGGGATGTGCAATCCAAAGTCTGACCGCATGAACAGTGAAGGAGTGAGAATGAAAACCGGAATTGAAGGATGGAAAAGATAAGTGGGACTTAACGAGAGAGCGACAGGGCTTATTATTATGGGACCTGAGAAAGCTGAAACGCTCTTTCGGATACCCGAAATAGAGATACAATACTTGAATAGATCACTTTAAATAACGCAAGAACGGGTGTAAGGATCGTCGAGGAGAACGCTTGCACGTTTGAACATACTACCTTACTTATAGAAATACAGTTCTAAAAAGTATCAGATAGTACCATTGACTTATGGATAGTACGATAAAAATGTAGGTTTATTTTTGGTGAATTTATTGTTTTGTAAAAATCAAAGATGTTAGTGATGTAATCCTGAGAAGTTGTTAGTGTATTACAAACAACTCTGAATAATACACTAATTAATTTGTTTATTATAAATAAATAAGACGAGTGAAAGGGGTATATAAATAAAAATCACGCTTCATCAGTTTTCCCTCATTAATACATATTTTAAATGGGTAGGTACTTACGCATTTTCAACGGGGGCAGGAAAGTCTCGATTCTTGAACATTGGTAGTAATCAAATATAGTAGAATTCATGAATACAATCATTTGTCTAGTACTAACTAAGGGTGCCCTATATAGATAAGGTATATTAAACTTAATGCTTGATATAAAAAATATTAACGTTTGTTAGGTTGAGCTATTACGTATATTGTATATTTGATATGAGTAAGAATTACATAACCTAAATTAATTAGGATTAAGTTTTCCCTAATTTCAGAAACCCAATTTTTATTCTTTTAAAAATACACCATTTTTTTAAATGTTACCCTTTTTACACAACTTTGTTTTACGACCCATAATAGCAGTTATAATGGCTTCTTGCAATTCATTCGCGTTGAGATTGTTTGTTTTATTGTTGGTTTAAACTAGTGTTGGGCAAAATACGTAAGTAGTGAAAGGCTTTAATTCGGCCCGCCAACATCTCTTTTAAAGTATGGCTCTCGGAAATGTGACAGCCTCGTCGATATTGACACACAAAATAACATAACACTACACAATAGTAATTAATAATATTTTTTAATTCTGGCCCACAGTTTTCAAGAAGTTTTCCTAAACCTGGTTTAAATAGCCACACCGAGGTGGCAGGAGATTATAAGAAAGAAAATGGTATATCGCCTTAAGGTGGCCTTCCCACGGTCCGTGACTTTACTGATCCACATACAAAGGGAGGAAATTCGTTCGTGGTAATGCAGACGCGTCCTATCCGTTCGTCGGTGCAAACCACGCAACTATAGTTTGTCATTCTGTAATTGTAATCTAATTATTATTGGGTGGGGCAATCGGTAAAATTACAGACCGTCTGATGCTTTACGTGGACGGGCGACAATAGCATTCTTAGGAGTATAACATGGGTATTATATCACATGATATGCTGGTATGAATTCAAACTCACCAATCAAACGGCTTTGATCTACATTCGGATCTCTATATAGGGCTCATGCATGGCATGTATAATGGTATTAAAAATGTATTGTGATAAATATTTCTTTACAGCTACCTAGATAACCAAATCAAATAAAATCGTTATGTTTATACTTAAGTGCCATACTTATCCCAAAAACAATTTTAATTTTAATTTTTTTTATATTATGTTTAAGTCTAAAGAACCAGTGAATTCTCAATGTGCCAAAAATGTAGATCATAAGATAATTTTTTAGCTAGATTTAGATATCATTCTTAGCTGTTTTTATGCCTGTGCTTCGATACTGCGTACTTTCACACATTTCTAAAATATAATGTGTACCATTTTTATGATGCGCCAAGGCTTTTTTTTAAATAGTGTACGAAAACTTAAAAGTTTCTTTTTCTAAGTCGACTAATAATTTAAAAACTAGTTTAAGTGCTACACTCGTACATAAGAGTACAACTTATTTCGTTTCTCCTTTAAAACCAATATTTTTGTCGGTTTAGTGCAAGAAGTTATTAATTGCCATATAATTTATGTAGCAATTAATGATTTCTTGCAATAAGCCGACGTTTTGTAAGTTTATTTTTTATTAAGTTGCTTTTAGGATGTTGGCCAGTAACTTTAAAATTATTTTTCATTTATATTTTTTAAGTTCTTGACACACATTTATTTTTCGCTTTGTTACACTTTTTGTTCTTTTTTCTTATAATATGTTATTTTGGAACAATTCGCTTGTTATAAATATTACAATAAGGTTGTAAGGGATGTTTGCAAACATATCGATGCTTGTAAATCAAAAGGGGTTAAACGACACTTATGTCGAAAATTTGTTTTATATGTGTTTGGAATTAACACATTATTATATTAGATTACATTCTACACACTAGTATATGTATATGATAATATTTATTACTAAAGTAGTAGAAATTTAGTTTAAGGGCACCTTTGAATTAGACGCTTATAGAAGCGCTATAGTGACGCCACTACAAATTTTCATACAATGTTTAAAAGCGAAATTGCAGCGCCACTGTCGTGACTCGCGCGAGCCAGTTTTGCAGTCACAACTGGGCACCGCGGAAGCGTGTATCTTGTGTTGGATACAAGCAACCGGCAACTAGAAGCAACTAGTTGCCGGTAACACACGTTAGCGCGGCGCCTTAATAAACATTAAATAACTGAAGCTTTACAGACGCGCGGCGGCCGCGCTTCTAAAAGCCTTTAGTTCGAAGGCACCCTAAGAGGCGATTTTCATTTGGAAATTTTAAATTGCTCCCTGAAGAATTTCAAAAATGGCGATTAGCCCTTTTTTTCCTTTCTATTTACGTTGTCACAGGTATTTAGACAAACATACGGGCACCAAGATCTTAGACTATGAAAACCAATTCCATCCTCTAAGACCAAGATAGACAGCCATTTTGAACCATAGTGGCTGTAATAGAAGAGATCGACTTTCACACACTCATTTCAAGTTAAACGGTCATACATCCTGACACAACCTGATGTTTTTCATTCAATTGTTTTTTTTTAAACCAATCCACACTTATTTCTACTTATAATTAACAATAAATTGTAAGTGAACACGTCGCTGAATCAACGGTGCTTTTGAAATTAGCTTTATGTGTGTCAAATTTATGTAACGATCGAGTGAAAGATATGAGTATGTGTTTTATTGATGTCAATTGTGTTTCTAATCGTAAATTACTCACGAGACTTACGGTGTCCCTATTTTAATAAACATTAGTTTTTAAATTTGAATGTTTTTTAATTTTTTTTTCAAAATGTATATATTTCAAAAAATAGTTGATGGTGACATAGCTGCGTGTTTGGTACATCGTAAGACTCTAGGACGCTACATAGCCGAATTAATTAGGGCCACCACTCATTGTGTCGTTAGACAGTGAGACGGGTGAATTTGACAACTCACGGACGAATTCAGCCAATTTAGAACTTGCTAACTTTCAATCAGATGCTTTAGTGAATTTCAATTAAAATACAAGATATTAAAATAAAAAAACAAAACTGTTTAAGATTTATCACTTATAATTGATATTTTTAGTAGAAATAAAAATACGCAATGTACAGGGTTAATAGCGTAATAGGTCCCCGAATCTACGAACATTTACCCACACACCTGAAACGTTTAATACATGACTAAGGGTCGTATTCCAGAACTCTACTCAATGCTCAAGTCAGGACTTGAGTATTGCAGTAAGCACTGAAAATCATACTCAAGTCCTTGCCATTAAGGTCGTATTTCCACTGCTTGAAATCATACTCAAGTCCGCTCAAATCCTGAGCATTGAGTAGAGTTCTGGAATACAACTCTAAAACTCCTTTTATTGGATAATGAATTCTATAGTGTCGATGAATTTCCTTTGAAACAATTATAATTTTGTTATACTTCGTTGTATTTGGACAAGCAGTAGTTATACTACTTTATTTTATATTAATTGACGATCATATTGACATTGTATTTTTTATTTTAATATTGTGACATTGATAATATGAAATAAATGATTCTATTATATTTTATTCTAACAGCCTCACAGGGCTATTTTATTACTAATATCATTAAAAAGGATTTTTGTTTCGTGTATTTTAATAGTTTATTCATTTAAAATATTTACAAGTGCCAGTCCGATATTATGTCCGCGGAAGTCGTCACCATCGGAGGGAACACTTGTAGTACGTTTGAAATACATATCTAAAACGTGTCAGATAGTAATTTAAAAACTTAAACGTGACATTCAAGAAACTTAAAACTTAAAAGGAAATTTTGGTAAATTTCTTATAATATTTTGTATAAAGTCATAGAACAAAAGTTTTTATGAATGATGTTAGTAATATGGTCTTTGGTTGTTACTATTTTACAAATAACATGAAAAGAAAACCATTTTTTCGGATCTACAATGTGTGTATTTGTTTTTTCAAACAAAGTATAAGTACAACAAAAACAT